AGATGGGGGGGCAAGAATAGCATGGGAAATATAGAATCTAAAGGACTTGAGACACATGGTCATAAACTAAAGGGAGGTAATGGTGGGGATGGGGGGCAGGGTAGAGGGGAATGAAGGGGGGAATAGAACAACTGTAACAGCATAATCAATAAAAAAATTTTTTTTAAAAGTAAAAAAAAAAAAAGAGAGAGGACCCAAATAAACACAATCAGAAATGAAAGAAAAAAGATTACAACTGACACCACAGAAATACAAAGGATTGTAAGAAACTACTATGAAGAACTGTATGCCAAGAAATTTGAAAACGTAGGTGAAATGGACAAATTTCTAGAAAAATATAAACTTCCAAAACTCAATGAAGAAGAAGCAGAAAGCCCGAACAGACCAGTAACAGCAGATGAAATTGAAACAGTAATAAAAAAAATCCCGACACACAAAAGCCCTGGACCAGATGGTTTCACAGGAGAATTCTACAAAGCATTTAAGAAGAGCTAACCCCTATCCTTCACAAACTATTCAAAAAAATCCAAAATGATGAAAGACTCCCAAACTCTTTTTATGAAGCCAGCATCATCCTAATCCTAAAACTGGATAAAGATACAACAAAGGAAGAAAATTTCAGGCCAATATTGCTGATGAACAGAGATGCTAAAATCCTCAACAAAATATTGGCAAACCACATCCAACAATACATTAAAAAGATCATTCACCATGACCAAGTGGGATTCATCCCGGGGATGCAAGGATGGTTCAATATTCACAAATCAGTAAATGTAATACATCACATAAACAAAAGCAAAGACAAAAATCACATGATCACATCAATAGATGTGAAGAAAGCATTTGATAAGGTACAACACCCATTTATGATAAAAACACTCAGCAAAGTGGGAATAGAGGGAGCATTCCTCAACATAATAAAGGCCATATATGAGAGACCTACAGCCAATATCATACTCAAAGGACAAAAACTAAAATCTTTCCCACTAAGATCAGGACCAAGACAAGGTTGTCCACTTTCACCACTTCTATTCAATATAGTATTGGAAGTTTTAGACACAGCAATCAGATAAAAAGAGGAAATAAAAGGCATCCAAATAGGAAAGGAGGAAACAAAACTGTCATTGTTTGCAGATGACACAATAGTGTACACAGAAAATCCTACAGACTCCACCAAAAAACTGCTCGACCTCATAAATAAATTTGGCAAAATAGCAGGATACAAAGTCAATATCCAGAAATCAAAGGCATTTTTGTATACCAACAATGAAACAGCAGAACCAGAAATCAAGAAAAAAAATCCCATTTGATACAGCAAAAAGAAAAATAAAATACCTAGGAATAAACCTAACCAAGGAGGTAAAAGACCTGTATGCAGAAAACTACACAACACTCAAGAAAGAAATCAAGGAAGACACAAACAAATGGAAACATATACCATGTTCATGGATTGGAAGAATTAACATCATCAAAATGTCCATACTACTCAAAGCAATTTACAGGTTCAATGCAATACCTATTAAAGTACCAATGGCATATTTCACAGACATAGAACAAACACTTCAAAAATTTATATGGAACCTTAAACAACCCTGAATAGCTGCTGCAATTTTGAAAAAGAAGAGCAAACTAGGAGGAATGATGATACCTAATACCAAACTGTATTACAAAGCCACTATAATCAAAACAGCCTGGTACTGGCATAAAAACAGGTACATGGATGGACCAATGGAACAGAACAGAGAGCCCAGAAATAAACCCAAGTCTCTATGGTCAATTAATATTCGACAAAGGGGGCAGCAACATAAAATGGAGTAAAAATAGCCTCTACAACAAATGGTGTTGGGAGAACTGGTCGGCTACATGCAAAAAAATGAAACTCAAACACCAACTTACACCATACAAAGAAATAAATTCAAGGTGGATAAAAGATTTAAATATAAGCCATGACACCATTAAAGTCCTAGAGGAGAACATAGGCAGGAAAATCTCAGATATTTCACACAGCAGCATATTTACTGATATGTCCCCTAGAGCAAGGGACATAAAGGAAAGAATAAACAAATGGGATATCATCAAAATAAAAAGCTTCTGCACAGCTAAAGAAAAGAGTATTAAAATAAAAAGAGAACCAACTGTATGGGAAAACATATTTGCCAATGATACCTCAGACAAGGGTTTAACCTCCAAAATATACAAAGAACTTACATGACTCCACTCTAAGAAGACAAGCAACCCAATTAAAAAGTGGGCAAAGGATTTGAACAGACACTTCTCTGAGGAGGACATACAGAGGATCCAGAGACACATGAAAAGATGCTCAATATCACTAGCTGTCAGAGAGATGCAAATTAAAACCACAATGAGATCTGCTTTACATCGGTCAGAAGGGCCATCATAAACAAACAAACAACAAATGTTGGAGAGGTTGTGGAGAAAAGGGGGCCCTAGTTCACTGTTGGTAGGATTGCAGACTGGTACAACTGCTAGGGAAAACAGTATGGAATTTTCTAAGAAAACTAAAAATGAATCTGTCTTTTGATCCAGCAATTCCACTGCTAGGATTATATCCTAAGAACCCTGAAACACCAATCCAAAAGAATCTATGCACCCCAATGTTCATAGCATCACAATTTACAATAGCTAAGTGTTGGAAGCAACCTAGATGCTCATCAGTAAATGAATGGATCAAAAAACTATGGTACATTTACACAATGGAATTCTCTGCAGCAGAAAGAAAGAAGGAGCTCCGACCCTTTGCAACAGCATGGATGGAACTGGAAAGCATTACGCTGAGTGAAATAAGCCAGGCAGTGAAAAACAAATACCATATGATCTCACCTTTAACAGGAACCTAAACAATAAAACAAAGAAGCGAGCAAATATAACCAAAGACACTGAAATAGAGAACAGGCTGACAGTGACCAGAGGGGAGACAATTCCAGGGAGAAAAGGAAAGGGTTTATAGGAACAAGTACAGAGGACACATGGACAACAACTAAGGGGGGTGGAAATGGGAGGGAGGTGGGGAGCATGGGGTGAGGTGGGCTGGGATGGGAGTAAAAGACAGAAAACTGTACTTGAACAACAATTAAATAAACAAACAAACAAATGTAAAACACTAAAAAAAAAAAAGAACTGCTAAAGAAGTGCTCGCTTTGGCAGCACATATACTTAAAAAATTGCTAAAGAATATGCATCAGCACAAAGAAAAGTGAACCTCGAGAGAAAGTGTAGAGTATAAGAAACAACAGAGGCCCTGGCTGTGTGATTAAAGTTGGTTAAAGTGTCGTCTCGGTACAGCAAGGGTAAGGGTTTGATCCCCAATCAGGGACCATACAAGAGGCAATGAATGAATGCATGAGTGGAAAAACAAATTGATATTTCTCTCTGTCTCCAGTCAATTAAAAAAGAACAACAATACAGGGCCAGGAATCAATATGTATCAACAATAATATTCTAAACTACAGTAATAGAGTGGGGCAGAGTTGAACTGTCCAAACATGCTAAATTTCGATAAATCTTTAAAGATCACTATTACACAAGGCACATTTACTGACTACAAAGCAATTAAATCATAAACCAGCAATAAAAATTGCATATATTCTCATATATAATAATCACATGATCATAATCATATGCATTAATATATGCTTATATGTGATATATAATTCTCATTATTAATAGTAGCCATGTTCTGTAAAGTTACTGTTAACACCTGTATTAGTCCACACTGCATTGCTGTTCCGAGGGCATATAAAGGTTTAGCCTCTGGTCACATCATTTTCAGCAAATGATAAATACATAACTGTTTTATGTGTGTTTCTGTGTAAAGACACCTTATTTAATATATTACTGATTCATCAACATTGAACTCATGGCCAACAGCACTATGCATGAATGAATATGAATACATGAAAACACATATATTTTCTCCATAAGGCACATTTTAGACTTATTGTGCTCAGCACCACTGGACAGCACTTCTGCACCATAATTAAAGTCCAGTTTTAAAAAGCAAACTCACCAACAAAAAGCACAAAAGTGAGAACTATGTGGCACTGAATATTCCAAGGAAAATGCTTTTTTATAGGATGAGCTGAAACAAGAGGGCAGAGGTTTACCTTCTTCAACCTCAATTGGGAACATGTGTATGTGTGCACTGATGACTCAAATTTCTCACTGCTCTGCAAATACCCATGTCTACGAATGACGATTAAAGCACTGCAAGTATTGACATGTGGTTACAAGCACATTTTAGCAAGTAGGCAAATATGAAATCTGTGGATAATGAAGATTGACTATACACACATTTGTAAACTCTAAAATACATGCACCCCTAAAATTTTATGGATTAAAAAGGAACTCACACCTTGGTCAGGTAGCTCAGTTGATTAGAGTGACATCCCAATACACCAAGATTGTGGGTTTGATCCCCAGCCAGGGCACATGCAATAAACAACCAATGAATGAATCAATAAGTGCAACAACAAATCCATGTTTCTCTCTCTCAAATCAATAAAAAAATAAAGAAGAACTCACAATGGAAACTCTAAATTGCTTATAATTGAATGACAACAGAAGAACTATATATCAAAACTTATCAGGTGCAGCTAAAGGAATATTTCAAGGGAAGTTAATAGTACTAAGATGTATTTTTAAATTGATGAGAGACAGAAACATTGACTTGTTGTTCCACTTATTTATGCATTCATTGGTTGCTTTTTTATGTGTCCTGACCTTGGTGATTTGGGCGGATGGTCTAGCCAACTGAGGTACCCAGCCAGGGTAGCATGTATTATTTTTACAATCCAAAAAAAGGTAGAAGTTCTTGAAAATCTATGACTGCCAGGGAATAGCAGCAGTACAAACACTCAGGGACAGAAGATGAACTTCTGTGGAAGGTCTTTGGTCAGGGCCTCTGCAGAGCCAGGGCTCTGAGGAGCCAGGAATTGGGGTCACATAGCTGAAGTAGGGGTACAGGAAGTCGCAGTCCTCACCTTGGCCTGTGCTGCTTCCTTGCTGGTGAGCACGAAGAGGACATCGCCAGTGTGAAGCAGAGAAAAGGGAAGGTCCAGAAGGGAGATGTACTTGCGCAGCACGCTCACAGACTGAAGGGTGAGTACCCTGCACCCTGGTGAGGAGGGAGAAGGAAGAAGGGAAAAGCGTTACTGCTTGTAGACAGATTCTCCCCTGAGAACCCTACTGTCCCCTGAGGCTCAGGGCAGAGCAGTGGCTGGGGCTTTCTCCTTGCCACCAAAGCTGTTCTTTGTCCACAGAACACCTGGCCTGCTGCCCTCTCCCTGCTACAGGTCCTAGCAAGGAAAGGTAGGTTGCTATAGGTTGGGATTTGGCTACATCAGGACCAAGGGAAAGGGATGAGACCTGTCTCTAGACCTGGTTCCTGCTCTCTCACAAAAGAACTGACAGACTTTCTTATCTGTGAAATGACATTGATACACGGGACCTGCCCGTCTCACAAGGTTGACATATACAAATCAAATGAACTAGACTTGTTTCAAAGGCCTCACGGCTTGGTAAGCTCAGTAAGCCCATGCAGAAAGGGCACACACTACTTATGTTTTCATTCTTACATCTTCCTATCATCCCTGTGGGGGTGACATATCCCCACTAACAGAACAGAGACTAGCTCAGTGAAGTTAAGCACCTGTGTCATATAATAAATGGGCAAGTGAGTCAAACACCATTCTTTGACTTAGGAGGAGTTTTTAACTCGAGCAGATTAACCCATAGAGCACCCATCAGTCACTTACAACCTGGCAAATGACCAGGAAGTGAGTTAGGATAGAAAGACAAAAAGAATAGTAGAGGTGGGATAGACCTGCTCAGTGAGAGCTGGGCAGGTGAGTGGGAAAGGCCTGATGTGGGTTTTTTTGTGTCAATTGTTCTGCTGGGTGCCCAGATATTTGGTGACACATTTCTGGGTGCATGTGAGACTGTTTCTGGATGAGATGCACATCTGAGTTAGTAGAGCGGGCTGCCTGCCCCAGAGTGGAGGCCTCCTTGGACAGTTGAGGGCCTGACCAGTGCAGAGGAAGAGAGAACTCCTTCTCCTTGGCTGACTGAGCTGGGATGTGGTCATTTCCTGCCCTCAGACTGTTACGTCATTGACCACCCTGCTTCTCAGACCGTTGGGCTCAGACTGAATTATACTACCAGCTTTCCTGGGTCTCCAGCTTAGAGGCAGCCAGATCGTGGGACTTCTCAGTCTCTATAATTGCACAAGCCAAGTCCTTATAATAAAGCAATAAATAAAGAATCCCCTATTGTTTCTATTGGTTGTTTCTCTGGAGAACCCGCGTGAACACCTTCCATCTCCCCTTGCACTTGGAGGCTGCCTGGCTGGCAGGGCACTTCTCAATGGATACAAACTGATTTTGGGACTTGGGGACCTGTGCTGACGGAAACACCCAGCCGAGTCTGGAAGAGGGGGGCCAGTCTTCCCTACCCCCTCCCAACTCTGTTTGGCCTAGGGCAGCTCTGTGTACATATTTACAGATTTCATACTAATTTTTCTAGCAGACCATGGTTTTACCTTATCTAGCAGCCTTTAGCACAAGGGAGAGGCCTTACCTTCAGGTAACCTCCCTTCCCAGTGTAGAGTCCTGGAGAGGGAAAGGACAGACAGAGAGGAGTAAGATCCCCTTTGCAGGTAACAGAAAGGGCCCTCAGAGCAAGGCCTGCCACACCCCGCGGTCCCTCCAGGTAAATTTCTAAGTAGTTTCTTTTGCATAAATTGCCATGTAGACTTATGGGATTCCCTGCCTTGGCTACAGCTGAAGGGACCAGGGTGGGCACCTTACACAAGGACAGCCAATGTGAAGGCTGGCCACGGCTTATAAAGTGCCCAGGCTAGGGCTTTGCCTGGGAGAGATGACGGTGATGCAGTAGACTCCTTGAGGCTCCTCCTCTTTTGAAGTTGTAACATTATATGGTGGGAGAATATTTTAAAATATTGACATTTCTTCCCTGATAGTTCCTTTTCCCCTTTTTGACCCACCCTACTCCCACCTCTGACAGTGATGCCATTGCCATCCTGTTCTCCCGCCATAAGAGGATGAGGAAGGAAAGTAAGTCCAACACCCAGACACATATGTGCATACAAAAAGGCATTCTTGGGAGCAGATGCAAAGGAAGAGAAGTTGAGAGGGAACTGATAAACTGTGGTCTTGACCTCGCAGCAGAGCCCTGAGAACAGAAGCAACTCATCCTGCGGTCTGGACAGAACTCTGGGGAAATCCTGAGTTGGAGGTGCTCAGGATCTCCAGGCACAGGGCTGGGAAGGCAGGGCGGACCATGCACTGGAGATGTACACCTGTGTAGAGTTGCACAGTGCGGCGGAGGGAGAAACCTGCACTGGAAGGAGCTGGTACTGGGGCGGCAGCCTCTGGAACAGGGCACAGAAGGGCTTGTGGCGGGAGGAAGCCAGGAAGAGGCTGAGGAGTAGCTAGAGGGGCCAGAGGGGCCACAGGAGGGAGGATCAGCTGGCTCGACCAGGTCAAAGCAACATTTCAGTGAGTGACAGGCAAGGTCAAATGCCATAAAAACCTTCAAGACAGCTGAGTACTGAAACCTAGGGAGTTTAGCATCCAGGTGGTGACAGTGGAGACAACAGTTTTTCATAGGTTGGTGAAAGGAGAAGGCAGGGAGAAGGACAGAAGGATACAAGTAGAGAGGACTCATCATCCTCTCAGAGGAGCGTTAGTGCCTGGGGTCGGGGGCCAGCCCTGACTAAGGAGGGTCCTCCAGCCACAAATGGAACACGGGCCCAGAAATGGGAAAGAAGGGACGTTCAGAAGACAAAGCTTATTTTTTCAGCATTTCTGCTTGGAACTGAGGGGCTCATGTAGCTACAGGTGTCAGAGTTACGGGACAGGTAGAGAGGCCCAAGGAGCGGTGACACTGAGACTGCTCTGGGTCTGGGGGGTTGGGGCGTGGACTGCCATCTTGGGGCTGCCTGACCTAGGAAGTGTGTCCTATAATTTACATAACTGCTGTGTGGTCCCATCCCTTCCCCAGGGTCTCCCCTCCTGTGAGGCTTTTTTGGTTTTTCTGGCAGCTTCCATAAACAACTACGTATGGCAAGAAGAAAACAAAAGAAAGGGCCAGAAAGGTTCCTGGGAAGGAGTGGATGAGGACGACAGTACTGGTTATGTACTGGATGCTGTTCTGTTAGATGCTTTGACTCAACATTTTGTTTTATTTCCTCAGAACAACCTGACAGTTAAGGTGTGAAGAGTCTCATCTTTTAGTTGACTAAAGTAAGGCCCCTGAGGCCATTTACTCCAATTCACACAGGCTTGCTTACTAAAGTGGCAGTGAGGTGCGCAGCATAGCACTAGAAAAGGAGACAGGTGATCCAAGTTCTAGTTTCTGTTTATCTCTGGACAAATCACTCCTCTTTTTGGACTGCGTTCATTCAGCAAGGACTGTAAGAAATGACTCTGGAGTCTTCCCCTGAGCCATGATGTTAGGTGATCAGAGACAGATGTCACAGCTCGGTAAAGTGGCCAGCCACTCTGGTTTTAGATACAGGAAGGATGCAACTGACTGAGGCTAAGATAAGGAAGGGGCCATACCTGGAGGAGGTGGGGGAGAGAAGGGACAAGCCCAGGAAGAGAGGCAACTGGGAGGTGAGGGCCTAGCAGCTGTCAGGGCAGAGGGTGGAAGAGTGAAAGGATAAAACTGCAGAAGCAGATCTCTGCTTCTCAATGGGGCATCACAAGCCTCAAAGCAGCTGTGGAGCCTGCAGTCTGGAAGCTTCCTGAGAAAACTATGAATCCAAACCAAGTCTGAGGAAAAAGCATAAGGAATGTGGGGACCTCAAACACACAGGAATAAGGACTCAGAAATTTTTTTGGAAACGATGTAAGATGCTGGTATAGGGAGACATTTTTTGGGGGGGTGAGGGAGCACTGACTGTGAACTTCCCCAGGAGTGTCACTGTGGGGGAGAGGGACTGCGGCAAAGTTATTTTTCAAAGGAGCATGAACTTAAGCATATGAGGAAATTGTTTTATCTCAAGCACAGTGACTGAGGACCCAGAGTATTAAAAACCTGTGGCACACCAGCCTCTTCCAAGGAAAATGGCCCCATACAGTCCTGTCTGCATAAAGCTGTTAAGCTGTCCCCTGGAGTTCCTGGCCCGGACTGACACCTTTCCCATTTTCCCCACTTCAGTGGAGGGCCAGGAAGGGGACCCACCCAAATTAGCCTTAAGTGCCTTGCAACTCTGTCCAGGTGTTCTTGGTTTGTTTGCAACAGACCCAGTCTGGCGGCTTTGTGGAAAGTGGTAAAGCTCAGTGTGTGTTCGGAATGAGGTGGAGCCACTATTTCAGTTCTCCATGGGGCTGTTTACTCCAGTCTTGGAAGTCCAAGGCCTCGGAGTCATCATACAGTTGGTTGGAAAGACCACTCCTCCTGGGCTACCTCACTTTCCCTCGCTTCTTCACTGAAAATTGCATCTCTACCCTGGCCGGGTAGCTCAGTTGGTTGGAGCATCATCCAGATACATCAAGGTTGTGAGTTCGATCTCTGGTCAGGGAATGTACAAGAATCAACCAATGAATGTATAAATAAGTGCAACAACAAATCAATGTTTCTCTCTTTCTCCCTTTCTCTAAAAATCAATCAATAAAAAATTTTTTGAATAGCATCTCTATGATGCAATTTCAGGTATTCTGTACAAGTGGCTGGGACAGGATGTGAACAGTCTTTTTTTTTAGAGCCTTTTTAAAAAAAGACCTTATTTATTTATTTTTAGAGAGGAAGGGAAGGAGAGAAGGAGAGAAATATCAATGTATGGTTGCCTCTCGTGCGTCCCCTGCTGGGAACTGGCCTGCAACCCAGGCATGTGCCCTGACTGGGAATCGAACTGCAATTGTGAGGCTCGTAGGCCCTTGCTCAATCCACTGAGCTACACCAGCCAGGGCAGGACGTGAACAGTCTCAATAGGAGGGAGCATTCCTACCTTCTCTAGTTCCACAGTCAAGGCAGCAGGAGGGTCGGTGTGGAAAGACTGTGTGGGTAACAGTTTATAGCATCTTCCAATAGGTAGTACACAGTTTAGGGACTCAGCTGAGTCCCTAGTACTGAGTATTAGGGACTAGCTGAGTATTAGGGAAGGCCCTAATTCTGGATGGGTCTTCACAGGGAGCAGAGAAGATAATGAATGTACACCTAAGATTCCTGGATTCAGCGTTGTCTCTGACATCGTTCAGCCTGGCAGCTTCGGTGAAATGAGAAGGTTGGACATTTCTGTCTTCACATATTTCTCTGCTCCAGTCTGAGAATGTTGGGCTTGTTAGAAGAAGGTGATAAGGTAAGTCCTTCACTTCAAGTCGCCCCACTCCTTCCTTAGCCTGGGCTAAGCCCACCAGCTGCTGCTCCTGGCACCCAGGAGAAGCACTTTTGAGGGTGGGGAACTGACATATGCTTGTAGGACCCTGAGTAAGTCCCTAATGTCTTTGAGGTTCAAGTCAGTAAAATAGGGTGACTGAAATACAAATGAGATTTCCTATTACATTTATATATCCTTCTTCAAAGAAAGATTTGTGATAGTGTATAAAGCATACAACAAATGATAACAAAATAAATGAGAATCAGGGGAGGAAAAAGAAGATGGAGCCAGGAGACATACTGGTTCACAAAGCTCAATCCCTAAAGTCTTTTATGCTTGCTACGAAGGGTAGCAAATTTGGCCCTACAGCTTTCTGTGGCCAAAGCAAAGAAAGAATTAAATCAGTTACTCCTTTGCTGTGTCCCTGGGGTAAAAAACAAACTTCTCAGCTGTTTAGGAGACTGGAGAGAGTTCTCACAGGGAGGATGCAGTGAGGTACAACGAGCGTCATGGGCAACACTGCCTATCTGATAATAAAGTTTCTTGGGGCTCAGATACTGAGGGGGCAGCGCTTTAGAAACCACCTGCCCCTGAGCAAACAAGCAAGACTCTCCCACCTCAACCACCCCAAGTCGTACCTCATAGCTGTGTGCAGAGCCACGTGGTTGCTGTGCCCACTGATGCCCACTGCGTCGAAGGTCACCACCTGCAGGGAAACATGATCTTCCACTCAGGCCTGACTCCAGGCCAGCTGTCCCCCCCACACCCTGGGGAAGGAGAGAAGAGGGCAGCGCCGAGAAACCTTTCACGTTTTGAGTTCACATGAACTGACTGGCTCAGATCAATGACATGCAACTATCAATTTGGCTGATCGTAGGGAGACTTTTTCATTGTGGGATTTTCCTGTTTATTTTTGTTCCAGGATGATGGAGTAGAGTGGAATTTGGCCCTGGTAGAACCCTGGGCTCAGAATATCTCTGTTTCTTATCTGCCTAGCCAGTGATGAGCACATTTACTTTTCCTGGCTGGCTGCCATGTGAACTTTGTTCACATAGTTGCTACCTGATTAACTGGGTCTCTTTTCCTTGTGCCTTAGGGCACAAAAGCTTTAGGGGACAATTTCCATCACATCCTGGGATTAAATTCACAGAAGAAATGTGTTTATTCATAGGCTGCCTCTGTTGCCATGTTCACAAATACAGATCTGCTTATCAACTAAAAGTTTAGTCTAGGTTCCAGCATTTCATTTCTACACACATGAATTTTTAAAAAGCCCAAGGAACAATTAAAAAAATAATATTAAAAGGACAGTTTGAATAATAAAAGAAATATTTTATAGAAATCAAGGACTCAGAAAAAGGAATAGTAGTGGTTGGCTAGGGGTGATGGAAAGAGGCAAGCTGTTCCCAAGGAGTGAGGGTGACCTAATGGCCTGGACGAAGGGGCCTAGAACCAGGCTTGGAGGAGGCTGGGAAGGGATTCACTGTTTGGTCTTTTTATACCAGACCGTAAAACATGTTGACTTCCTTTATAGAGAATTCTGAGCAGCTAACTTTAATTGAATACAGGCCAGAGGCTGGGGCTATAGATTAAAATAAAATTTAAAGTCCTGTCAACTCATCCTGATTCAAACAAGCTGCAAGAATAAAAACAAAATAAAAACACATTTATAACATTAGAGTATTGGAAATGCAAAACATGGATATTAATTAATTTTTAGGTGTGATAACAATATTACTATAGTTATGTTAATAAAAGATTCAATGTCTTTTAAAATTGCATACTGTCCCTGATTGGTATGGCTCAGTGGATTGAGCACCAGCCTGCAAACCAAAGGGTTGCCAGTCCGATTCCCAGTCAGGGCATGTGCCTGGGTTTTGGGCCAGGTCCTCAGTAGGGGGCGTGTGAGAGGCAACCACACATTGATGTTTCTCTCACTCTTTTTCTCCTTCCCTTCAATAGAATTGCATACTAATGCATACTTAAATTTGTATTTAAATATGAAATACCATGGCAAGAATTTGCTTTAAAATAACACAGCAGGCAGGGAGGTATTTAAATGAAAATAGTATTGACTGTGTGCTAATTATTGAGGCCAAAGGATAGGAACAGAGGTTCATTAAACTATTCTCCCTACTTTAATATGCTTAAAATTCTCTATAAAGAAGTTAAAAAAAATTGTAGTTAAAGGTTTATAAAAAGCAAATCATATAATGGTGGATATATGTCTTAACACATTTGTCAAATCCATGTTATATGACACCAAATTTGAACCCCAAACTATGGACTTTGGATGATGATGATTTGTCATGTATGTTCAATTATTGCAACATATTGTGGAGGATGGGGTTAGAGATGTACTTTCAGCTAGGTATTTTCTGTGAACTTAAAAAAAAGCAGCCTATTATATTGTGCACCTGAAACTAATACATTGTACATTAACTATAATTTAAAATTTTTTTAGAAATTTAAAAAATACAGTCCATAAAAACAATAGTTAACCATATACCTCAAGTACTGATCCCATGCTTCCATGCAACATAGTGGGGAGGGGTGGTGCGGGGAGAAGCTGCAGCTGGTCTTCTCTCCAACACTAGTTAACCCTAACCCATTGGGCAAGTCACAGAACTTAGCCACTGGAAGTTATTTCAACTTTCTTTTAAAAATATATACATTTGCCCTCACCAGTGTGGCTCAGTTGGTTGAGTGTTGTCTTGCAAAGAAACAGTCTCTGGTTCAATTCCTGGTCAGGCACATGCCTGGGTTGCAGGCCAGTCCCCAGTTGGGGCATATGAAAGAGGGAACTGATTGATGTTTCTCTCTTGCTCTTTCTCCCTCCATACCCCTCTCTCTAAAAATAAAAAAATATATAATATTAAAAAAATATATAGGACTTCTGGACAAGATAGAGGTGTAGGTGGAAACACTGTGCCTCCTTGCATAACCAAAATTAAGGACAACAAAGATTTAGAAACAAAAACACAACAACCAGAATGACAGAAAATTGAACTGTACCGAAGTCCGATAACCATTCAATCAGACTGGTAAGAGGGGCAGAGTTGGTGGCCAGTGGAGAGGGGTTGTGGCAGGAGAAGACAGTGGCTGCCAGACTTAGGAGTGCAGGTGGCGCGGGGCTGACCAAGGTTTTAAGTTCACACATTTTGTGCGCAGATAAACCAGGCAAAAACAGGCAACGAGACAGACCATGCAACCCAGGGCTCTCGTGCCAGGGAATAAAGCCTAAAACCACTGACTGAAAAGGTGCCAGGAGAGACTCCTAGCCTCACAGGAGAATTCGTTGGAAAGACCCACGGGGTCCTGGAGGATGCACAAGCCCACCCACCCAGGAACCAGCATCAGAAGGGCCCAATTTGCTTGTGGGAAGCAGCAGAGGGGACCAAAATCTGAAACAGACAACAGCAAGCACCATTGTTCCCTCTATGACCCCGCCCCCATATACAGCACCACAACACAGCCAAGTGGGGTGCCCCACCCAGGTGAACAACTAAGGCTCTGCCAATCATATGTAATAGGTGCGACCTGACCAAAACATTATGGCTCAAACAGAAGAACAAATCAAACCCTCAGAGCCAATACTTTTAAGCGACCAAGAGATACCCAACCTATCAGATGCACAATTCAAAACACTGGTGATCAGGATGCTCACAGAATGGGTTGATTTTGGTTGCAAACTAGATGAAAAAATGCAGGCAACCCTAAGTGAAATGAAGGAAAATGTACAGGGAACCAATAGTGATGGAAAGAAAACTGGGACTCAAATCAATGGAGTGGACCAGAAGGAAGAAAAAAACAACCAAACAGAAAAGAATGAAGAAACAAGAATTCAAAGAAATGAGGAGAGGCTTAGGAACCTCCAGGACATCTTTAAACACTCCAACATCTGAATTACAGGGGTACCAGAAGGGGAAGAGGAAGAGCAACAAGTAGAAAACTTATCTGAACAAATAATAAAAGAGAACTTCCCCAATCTGGCAAAGGAAATAGACTTCCAGGAAGTCCAGGAAGCTCAGTCACAAAGAAGTTGGACCCAAGGAGGAACACATCAAGGCACATCATAATTACATTAGCCAAGATTAAAATGAAGGAGAGAATTGTAGAAATGGCTAGAGATAAGGGGACAGTCACCTACAAAGGAGTTCCCATCAGAGTGTCAGCTGATTTCTTAAAAGAGACCTTGCAGGCAAGAAGGGGCTGGAAAGAAGTATTCCAAGTCATGAAAGACAAGGACCTACATCTAAGATTGCTCTATCCAGCAAAGCTTTCATTTAGAATGGAAAGCAGATAAAGTGCTTCTCAGATAAGGTCAAGTTCAAGGAGTTCATCATCACTAAGCCCTTATTATATGAAATGTTAAAGGGCCTTATCTAAGAAAAAGGAGTTAAAAAATATGAACAGTGAAAGGACAGCAAACTCAGTTATCAACAACCACACCTAAAACAAAAGCAAACTAAGTGGACACCTAAAACAGGAGCGAAACTACAGCAATGGAGAGCACATGGAGGGTTAGCAACAGGGGAGTGGGAGGAGGAGAAGGGGGGAGAAGATTCAGAGAATAAGTAGCATAGGCAGTGGGGAGAAAATGGACAGGGGAGGGCAAGAGTAGTGTGGGAAATGTAGAAGCTAAAGAACTTGTGACACATAGACATGAACTAAAGGGAAGGAATGTGGGCAGGAGGGGGTGTGCAGGGTGGAGGGGAATGAAGGGGGGATGGGGACAACTGTAATAGCATAATCAATAAAATTTTTATTAAAAATATATATATGTTTATTGATTTTAGGGAGAGAGGAAGAGAGAAAGATCAATGAGAGAGAGAAATGTCGACCAGTTGCCTCCCACATGCACCCCAGAGATGGAACCTGAAACCTAGGTATATGCCCTTACTGGGAATTGAACTCCTAACCCATTGGTGTACAGAAAGATGCAACCAACTGAACCACACCAGCCAAGGCAGTTATTTCAACTTTCAATGTCTTGGTTTCCTCATTTGAGAGGTCAGAAGTATAATACCTGCCCTACTGGGGACCACTCCATGTAGTTTCGGGGACTGTAGCCCAGCTGAGCAAAGCCTTGGAAGAGGCCAGTAAGTCTCCCTGGAAAACCAGGAAAGCAAGTAGCAGACACGACCTGATATTAACACTGAGGGTTGCCCTGGGAAATCAGACCTGAAATATACATTGTATTCTTTGAAGCCTGCACAGCCTAGTGATAGCCCTATTGGTATAAGCCAGATGTTTGAGTTCAAAGGATAAGGAGTGAACTCCTTATCTCATGAACACGCCTTAATGACCACCTTGCATCAGCAGGTCTTGCAGCCCCTGATAGAGTCTCTGCGTTTCTTCAGTTGTTATCTAGATAGTGTCAGTTTTTTATGACTAGAGCCTTTTGGACACTGATTGATAAGCTATGCTTGTATGCTGTATCTCCCTGCACATTCTGACCCTAATAAAAGCCATTTTGGAGAAGGGCTTGGGGCATTCTCCACTGGAGGGAATCATCATTCCCTCTCCCGCTGGAACAACAGATTGTGTCTGGGACACTTTCTTTTCACCTGCAGCAGCTGAGAGAGCTCTGCTGGAGCAGCACCACGTCTCCCTTCCACCCTCTACTGCCCTACTTTGCTCACTGGGTTGAGTTGAAGATCAAATAAAGCCCTGTGGAGGTGTTTAGAGCCATACAGATATAAAGGCTACAGGGTCTGAGCTCTGTCTCTGCCATCAGATACAGCAGTAGGTTGGGGCCAGGTTATCATCATAGGCATGCCCGAGGGCATACCCTTGGTTAAGGGATTTGGGGCCAAGTGGATTTAGACTCAGGCATTTTCAAATTTTCCAAGGTCTTTGTTTCTTCTTCGTTTCACACCTTTTTTTTTGGGGGGGGGGTAGTGAATTTTAGTTGTTTTCAAAGGCTCAGACACGGCCTTATTCTTTCCAAACTGTCAAATTTGCCCTCAACTTATAAAAATATTTCTCTAGACAGAGAAACATTGTGATGAATGATGGGGGGTTGCTACTGGGTAGAGGGGGACATATTTAGTGGACTTAGTCTAGAGATGCTGCTAAATACCCTACAATGCCCAGGACAGTCCCTATAGCAAAAAATTATCCCGCCCCAAAGGTCAATAATGCCACTATTGAGACATCCTGCCCTAAGGGAGCAGGAACTAGGTGTATCTGGCTTGTTGCTGCAACCCCTGTTCACAACAGATAGTGAGTATCATATAGCAGGTGTTCAATAAATATTTGTTGAATGAAAAACAGAGGGAGGGGCTGGACCCTGGCCCCAGACTGTTTTCCATAGAGGGCAGAGGTGTGTTTTCCAAAGCTCTGTCCTGTCAGTTGTTCTATAGGGTTCTCTCAATGCTGTCACAGGGAGTAGGACAGATAGCTAGCTCAGCATCCGATAGAGCTTGGACCAAACAGAGCCCAGATTTCTTCCATCACACTGTTCTAATGGCTGCGGAGCCAGCTGTGGCCTTGGACAAAGGAGAGCTTTTGGCATTATCCCAGCACAGCCCATGAAATCACCTTCACAGCCCAGCAAAGAAATCATGACTTCCCATGACTTATCTCTGTGCTCCACACGTCTATCTACGCTTCCCTGTTGGTGTTTCATCTCCTCTGATTGTGCAGTTGACACTTCCAGTCTGGATATGGCACCTGGACCCTTCCAAGCTTTGTGCACTCAGCCTGGTACAGGACACTGCCATGGAGTGACTTCCCGTCTGCCCAGTATTAGCCCTCCTCGTGCAGGGACCATAGGTCTGTGTGAAAGGAAACCCATACTTAGCTCATTGCAGCCACTCAGGCCCACTGACTGCAGGGTCGGAAGGGCCCTATGCTTCTACCACTGCATGAAATGCAGCCCAGGGAAGTTAGTCCCAGTGCACTGTGAGAATTTGAGTTTCCCTAATAACAGCAATGTATATTTTTCAAAAGAGCATTTCCTTGTTTACAGAAATTAAGTCAATTCAAGATTATCCTGACAACAGAGGGGCCCCAACTCCTCAGAATGAATATGTACAGCCCACACGACAGGAGGGTCTCCAAGCAGCTTGGGCGGCAGTGAGGAGCAGCAGCTGTTTTGGGATAAGCACTGTCTGGGCTGTGGAGCAGGTCTCCCCTTGGACCTCGCACTCTGGTTCATAAGACATGGTCTGTACTTTAGAGGACACACAGCAACATGTGTCGCCAGCATAAGACACATAGCTATCACTGTAGGAATACCAGGACAGTTGAAGAAGTCAGGGAAGTCTCCTTGGAGAAGGCAGTCTTAAGGGGAACTTAGATCCAAAATCACTTTTCTGGGACACACACCTGAGAGACTCTTTCGAGAGCAAGAATGGCAGAACAGTCTGAGCCCTGAAGATCCTCCCTGGATGTTCAGAGCCAAAGCTGGCTGCAACATGGTCTAAAAAAGGCATCTGGCCCCTCAGCAAGGACCAATCCTATTCACCAGTGTTCTGTTCTTAAGTAAGGGCCTGATCAAAGAAAGCCAAGTTTGGTAAGACTGAAGTTTATCCTACAAGCAGGCGTTACTGGGGAGACCAGGTGTTCTTATGCACTGAAGTAGGGGAGGAGAGAATTTGGGGCCTGGTCCCAGGGACCCAGTGTTAACCCTCAGGGGTTACTGCAGCACACTTTGCAGACCTCATTGTTTTACTTTGGGCTGGTCTACATAGCTGGGATTGGGAGCCCAGTGAAGTTCTGACTGTGGGCTGGCACAAATCAATGGGCAGGAAGTGTGACTCATGCGCTGATGGACAGAACCCTCCATTTTTCACACTCAGACACCCTGGTAAGGTACGGGTAGGAGGTACGGACGTGCAAGCTGCTGGTGGCCATTTTTCCAGCCAGGAAAAAAAAAATAAAGTCAATGCACAGAGCAAGAAAGAGATGAGCCCTGACGGGTCAGGGGCCCACCTGCATCACCACTTGCATGGGATTTGGAGTAAGCCAGTTAGGTATACTTCTGTCATTAGGAAACAAAGATGGTCTAATAAGTCAATGAAAATCTGTTCTTATGAAAAGTCTAATAAATCAATTCACTCCATGAATTCATAATTGGTAAAAGCCTAACATGTCTCTCTGCCAGAAGGATTCATCTTTTAATGAGGATTTACCAAAACCCAATTTTGATATGATTGGGGCTTTAAATGGTCAAATTTTAGGTATTATCTCATGAAGGATTATTGTTATTTTAGAAGTGAACAGCAAGCCTTCTAAGCAGGCTTAAAACTGACCACTGGCAAGGCCACTGCTGTGGGTCCTAGGAGAGCTGAGAGGGGCTTTCCTGGACTTTTCCACCTCTGCAAGTAACTCGAATCTCCAGTATTGCCCTACCTGTGACTCAGATGTTTTCCCTGTAGGGGGTATGAATTTACCCTTGTGATTTTTGGAAATGAGGTTTAAAATCCTAGTCTTGCCACTTGCAGAACTTGGGCTAGTTGCTTGACCTCCAGAAACCTCAATTTCCTTGATATAAAATGAAAATTACAACATACAACATACCTCTGAAGTTAAAACAATACAATAACTGTGAAAATGCTTGGTGAAAGGTGCAGTTCTGTACAAATGAGAGTTACAGCACAGGGTTCAGGAGTTTTTAGGTGGTGGGACAGAGGTGGGGGTGGGGGCAGGAAAAGAGGACACAATGGGAAAAACCTGTGTTGGAGTGCTGCCACCACAGTTACTCAGCCTCACAAAAGGCGTGTGGTCATCAGGAGGCCCTGGCCTCTTTTCAGTGTGGCCCTGGAGGAGGGCTGCACATGGGAGAGCAGCCACAGGAAAGGTGAGACTGGGCCCAGTTTTGCGTTCTGGAAGCTCGTCTCCTTACCAGGTTGATGTCATTCACTTCTATGTGCTGGAGCAGGACGCTGGCCACACTCGCTGTGTCCCACTGAACACCTGGGTCATCTGGGAAGTCCCTGGAAGGAAGAAGCACAACTTGAGCACCATTTCTCATTGGTGGCAGCTTCTCCCTAAGCTCTGCTAGGTGTGTACCAGTCTCCTGACAGGAATTGTAGGGGGTGGCTGCCTACAATGTAGGGCTACCCTTAATATGCAGGTTTCTATTGAAAGAGGTAAAATTTAGAAACATGATACCAGTAGATACTGATGGAGAATTCCACACAAAACACTTTGGGAGCTTTGTGTCATTGCCGAGGGGGAAAAAAGGATGTTAATGAAACCAGGCTTTGTCTACATGTTGGGGAGACAAATTTAACTGCAAACCTGACACAAGGCAAAATGATACTTATGTTTATAAAAGTAATAGTAGCCCTGGCTGATGTAGCTCAGTGGATTGAGCATGGGCCTTCGAATCAAACAATCACGGTTCAATTCCCAGTCGGGGCACATGTCTGTGTTGCAGGCCAGTTCCCAGCAGGGGACACACAAGGGGCAACCACACAGTGATATTTCTCTCCCTCTCTCTTTCCCTTCCCCTCTAAAGATAAATAAATAAAATCTTTTAAAAAAGTAATAGTAATAGCACTTTCATTGAAAAAGTACAAAAATTTGTTATTTCATTTAACCTGACAAACACCTTTAAGGAGCCTTGACAGATGAAGTTAAGTAGCTTGTTTGAAAGCCTGTTAAAGTTAGAGTTGAACCCAGGGTTTGCGACTGCAAAGCCAAGATGTTTTATCACCAGGGAGCTGGCAACATCCCACCTCCAGTGAGGCCACAGCAAGTCGCATGTCTCAGGCGCAGAGTCCTCTCCACGTTAATCTGCACTGTATCTGCATCTCCATTTTAATACATCACCGACCTATCTCCTCCTCTGCTGGTTTTTGGTGTATGGATCTATGACCTCACCTGATATGAGACCAAGGCCTCAATTTAAACCCCTTTTTGAAGGTACTATAAATAGATACCCATTCCTCTTTGACTCAGGTCCTATGGCCACCCCCACAATGTGCCTTAAGGGCACAGGCTCCCTGCTTCCCATCTGGCAGGCTGCTATCACCTCTCTACAGACAAAGGCCGTCAACTGACCCTCTTAGGACTTTGGTCAAAGGAAAATCACTGAAGGTTTTTCAGTAGGAGAATTATATGAATCTCAGTACTAAATAATTTAGTTATTTCTATTGCTTCACTAGCTACCTCTACCAAATCCCTAGGGCATCTTCAGTGGAGGGCAGCTTTAGGCTTTTCAAAGCAGTGTCCTGCTAGCCACTCTGTGTGGTTCTCATACTGCTCCTGCAGTAAGCAGGACAGACAGCTCGGCTGGTGGGGAATAGGTAGGAAGAGAGTACAGTCCAGTACAGTCCAGCTTTGTTCCCTGGAAATAGGAACAAATATGGTATGCAGAACATGACCTGCTGAGCTCGACTGCTGAAGGAAAAACAAACACAGGAATCAGGGAAAATACCTTAGTGTGAAAACAGCTACTTATATCCTCCTGGTGCAGAAATCCACATAAATATATCAAGGCATCATTTTGGAAACTGAAAATACCAATAATAGTCACATAGACTTGATATGTAAACCATGCAACTGGTCTTGGTTCAGCAAGGGACAGGTATTCTAAAGCAGCTGCTTTGCAGCTTGTTACTTTCCCAGAGCTGTACAGGCCTACTGGGAATGGCAATAAAATTATGCAGTTTAGAGTTCCTAGAATCTTTCTTTAATTATCAGCAAGGCCCTTTATGATTTTTAAACCATAGAGGTTTCCATAGAGGCTGCATGAAAGTTTCATTCATGCAACTTGAATGAAAGAGTATGGCAATCTCAGATGCTGACGTGCCTGGGTAAGTTTCCTAAAATGTAAAGCTGAGCAACCCTTTCTGGCTTAGACAGATATAGTGAGCTGACAGACACTTTGACCAGCTAAAGTAGAGATGACAACCGAAGCGCTGAGGACTAGGAAAACCAGGGACTGCAGCAGGCAGTGGGTGGTATGGTGCTTATTTGATGTGCTTCTCTTGTCTCCAGACAATTCCAGTCTACAGAGCACTCTCAGCTTGGAAATGATAAAACCAAATCTCTGCAATGTCTGTAAAGTACCTTGTACCTGCTTTCTAATTTAGAGACCTGAGGTCCACAAAGCTTTCATTCACTCTATATCTACAATCAGTCAGGTGGTGTGTCCTGTTAAGAAGCCAGCAATAGAGAACTAGGAGTTATTTAAAACATTAAAAAGGTCTATTAAAGATTGTTTAAAAAAACAGGTATCTTACAATGCAAGAAATTAAGCTGCTAGCATACATTCTTCCAATTTTCACTAAGAATCAGCGAAATGCTAAATTAAAGCAGGACATAATGCTCATGTGGAAAAGGGCACAGGGAAAAGTGCTGTTCTATGCTATTGGTGCAAGTTTAAAAAATTTTTTATTGATTGATTTTTAAAAAGATTTATTTTATTTACTTTTAGAGAGAGGGAAAGGCAGGGAGATAGGGAGAGAAACATCAATGTGTGGTTGCCTCTCACATGCCCCCCACTGGGGACCTGGCCTACAACCTAGGTATGTGCCCTGACTGGGAATCAAACCAGCAACCATTTGGTTCACAGGCCAGCACTCAGTCCACTGAACCATACCAGCCAGGGTATTTATTGATTTTTTGGAGAGAAAGAGAGAGAGGAAAGCAGAGAGAGAGAGAGAGAGACATTGATTTATTGTCCCAGTTACTTATGGATTCATTGATTTTCTTGTATGTACCCTGACCAGGGAATCAAATCCACAACTTTGGCGTATGTCAACAATGCTCTAACCAACTGAGCTACAGACCAGGGATGTTGGTGTGAGTTTAAATTGCTACATCTCAATGAGAGGACAATTTGGTTATATGCAATTATTTGTGCCTTTTGACCTTATCTTTCTAGAAATTTACTCTAAGGAAATAATTAGAGAAGCCTTCAAGTCTCAGTCAGCTCCAGCAGAGACACCACTTTCACTGTGACTCAAAGCGGAAGGAGGCCCACAGTTTGGTTCTGCCTCCACGAAGCAATCTCTCTAATGTCCTCATTTGTGGCTTACGAAAATGCTAAAGATAATAGTATTAGGGGTGTATTTAAAGCAAAAGTAAAGAAAGTATAGATATTCCAAGGTAAGGAATGTTGATGGAAAAAACCCCAGAAAACCCCCTCAATTTACTAAAGTCTAATTGTGCTTTTGACTTCTCTAAAAGAATGAGACATACAACAGGAATAGAAATGTACTTAGAGGAACTGAATTTTGAAAGTAAAATAAGTTTGTGAGAGAACTTCTAAATAAAGGGCTCTGAAGGAGTCCAAGTCTGAGAGTGGAGCCTAGGACGCAGGGGCACTGGATTGAGGTGCGTGGGCCTGGGAAGCAGGAGTGAGTGGCAGAGGGATGGAGGACCACACAGGATGATTTATCCACCTGACGCCCCATCTGGGACTGTCTGAATGGGATGCTAACTCTCCAATGCTGTAGGGAGAGCAGGCTTCGGCACCTGAGCCTCTGAGCCATGGCAGAGAACACTTAAGGCAAAGAGCAAGGGGTGCGAAGTGTGTCCCCCCCCTCCCCCCGCGTCCCCTCACCTTGCACAGCCCTGGCCACGGCCTGAGGAGGGATCTGGAGCGGCACACACCCCACCCCACCCCACCCCAGAGGGGGTTCTGAGAGAACAGATATTGCCCCTCTGACCCACCAGACTTAGCACACACTGGCTCCCGGCCTGGGGCTGAGGGCAGGGATTCCACCCGCAGCCTCAGGAGGCTTCAGCCCGCGGGGTGCGGTTTGCTTCGCTGCACAGTGACAAGGGATTCGCAGGAGGAGAGGGGCGAGGACAGAGGGAAAGAGCGCCTGACGGTCAGGGCATCCCTTGCTCACCACGCAGCCATCATGCTGAGGTTGATGAAGCTCATGAAGCACCTTAGGAACACAACGGCACTGCGCTGGGCTCTGAAGACCTCTGAGGAGAACGAGGTGTTCTGGAAGCCATCAAACACCACAGAGGACGTCCGCTCTCGCAGGGCTTGTGGTCCGATAACTACGGTGGGCACAGCCACTCCCCCGAGGTGTATTAGGCGAATACCGTGTTAACACCATCGGTCAGCGTTCGGAACCTGACCCGGCCCAGACCTTGGCGTGCAATTAACCAGCAGATCTCTCAGCCCAGGGCTCATAAACACGACGTTTGTTTTCACACCGGCTCAAGTGCCGACCTTTGTCCGTATGTTCGAAACAAGCCCTGGAGGGCTTGTTTAGGATCGAGCCCGTACAGTCATGGAAAGGTTTGGTGAAAGTCTGCGAGCGTCAGTTCCCATGGCCGCAGGCCCTGCTGGAGAGGAAGAGGCGCTGCCACCGCGAGGCGGCCAGTCTCGGGTAAGGGCTTCTCTCAAGAAATTGTGCTCCTCTTGCACAAGGCCCTCCGAACTTTCGCATAGGCGGAGGCTGCGCACACATTCTAATTTGGTCTGGTGGCTGGCGCAGCCTAGCTGGAAGGTGCAGCCAGTCCCTCCCCCACCACCTCAGGCACATTTATAAACTTGATGACTTTCTTTGTTATCCCAGGCCAGCAAAGGTCATTTGAGTTCACTGAACGGAGGAGGGGGGCTGGGGGGAGGGCGGAGAGCAGGATGATGGCTTGGGGCCTGGGGCGGGTAACTCTGGGCCCGAGGAGCAGGGCTGTGAGAACGACTAGAGTCACAAGAGCTCAAAGGAGTTAGATGCTAAAGCTATGTCCTTCTAAAGCAGAGAGGGCAATTTCTGGGCCTGTCTCGGGGTCACAAAGACTAGCCTAAGATAAACAGTAAGGAAAAGAAACATTTAGAGAAAAGAAGGGAAGGAGAAAGGAAAAGACAGAAAAAGAGGGCTGAAAAAAGAAGTTCATGCATAAAAAGCGATCCTGTTTTTTAGCATCTACTCTGAGAAGAGCCCCATCCTCAGGCAGTTTAGGAGCTCAGACAAATACTAAATGTCTCCAGAGACCCTTGTCCCCATAAGGCTTAAAGCTT